AGTCGTACTGGTTTGTAGATGCGATGGTATTCTTCTACTTTCTTTTATCAATGTCAATGCCGGAGGTCTCGTTACTCATGACATCGCTCATCAGTTATGGAAAATCACTGTACAGCCTACTTTCAAGTGAGTTCCACGAACTATCCTAAATCGTCTTGAATTTGTTGCTGTTACATCCCAGGGGCTCGACTGCTTCTCCATCAGAGGAGTGCACGATGAGAAAGGAGTCCGAAATGAGAAAAGATTCTGAAATGTTATACTGGCCAAGCTTCACCAATCTGCCGACAACGGTGTGAAAGACTTGATTCTTATGGTAACTCCCGTTGGCACTCTAAATTTATAGTTGCTTTAGGTGCGGAAAATGGGCTTGGCAAAACGAATGGAGGCTGCAGGTGATAGCCAGGATGTCTCTTTCAGTGATAAAAAACCATATTCAATAGCACAACCAATGGTACGCATGCGTTCTCTCAGTGTTGGTGTAAGTTGTCATCAACGTGCACCCTAATCGCACAGCATAGGAGTTAAACCGGAAAGGCAAAAGTTTCAGAATCTTGAGGCTGAACCCACGGCTCCTATCGAATCGTCGCCGCTAATTTCTGATGGTTCCACGCAAGCTGTTGAGGAATCGACATGCCCCATCCAAAGGTTAGTCCATAAAGCTTTGTTTTCCGACAGATCAAAAGTAGATGGTTGCAGTTCTATTAAAGTGAAGTGGAACTTGATTTCGTTTTTCAGAAAATTCCAATTAAACTATAATTGCAGTCTTCCTGCCTCACCTGGTAGCCGACGTCGTCTGGCCAACGCAGGACCGGGGGTTGCTCTTGTGGACAACCACTATGGGAAGAAGTAGAAATTTTAATGTCTATCAAAATGTCTTGATAATAATCTTAATAAGAAATTCGTCTAGTTTATGAGAATAGTTTATAATTTTGAAGCTCATTTTTATTCAGTTATTCCACATCGTGTATCTGATCAGGTTGATAGTATCTAAACAAATTGTTCGATTCAATAAGTCACTTGTGATGCATCTTTCTGTCCACTGCCTCGTCCCTGTATGATCTTGCCAAGTATGGGTGTCTTTTCCGGTGTGTTTGGGTCCTGTTGTGTTTCTTTTCACTACAGGGTCTTTTTATTTGTTAGCTTTCATAACTTGTGTGTTGCATTAATTTCGAAGTGAATTCAGTAGATGTGACCCATAGTGTTGTTGAATTTGTTTTTAGAATCTTTTTATTACTTGCAAACGAAGATGTCTAATTTGCCACTATCTCTTCAACGGAGTTTGAATCTCTTTTTAATAATCTCTTCCATTTTGGCCACAAAGTGAAGACCCATTAAATAGATCTAAGTCATCAATGTAATGGTCATAGCTTTGAACAGAGCTGTTCATACTTGAAATGCATCTGTTGCACTTTCCTTAGCTTACATGAGGTAGCCAAACATAAATGGAACGAAGAAACAAAGCGAAGTTTGAACATTGCTGGCTAAAGGATAAGCGCACGGGTCTTGATTGCATTGAAACAGTGGTGTTTTCAAATGAGATAAAGGTCGCAACCCGGGTATGTTAGCAAGATTGACCTCTTTTCTTCTACATTGTAAGCCATTTTTATGAGCTGATTAACACATTTATTATTCTTCTGTATAAGTTTTTGTCAACTTTCATGACATTTAAAGTTATGAATGGTAGGAAAACGTATGGAATTTACTGAGGAATTTACTGAAAAGGATGGCTCAGCAAGAACAGTAAGCAAACGATAGTTATGATAAGCAGAGAAGGGTTGGTTACGAGCAGATATAGTTGAGACATTCGTCTTTGATAGTGGTGAAGCTCAAAACTAGCAAACCTGGCATGCAACTTCGCGGAAAGAACTTAGTTAGGTGCTTGAAAAACGATAAATTCTCATATCAAGACGAAAGGAAGAACCAGCATTATTAAAATTTGCTTTTCAAGCAGAGTTTTTGCTATATCGGCATAGAACCGCATATTGATATTTCATTACAACTGAT